TCGCAACGAAATCATTGTTTTGCTGTCTTTTGGTTGAGTCTCGAAGTTTGGATTCGCAGACCTATCGGCCGTCGCTTCGATGTCTTTATCTGCGCTAACCCTCTGTGGGAACCAATAGGAGGTCTGAAACGGGAAGTAGAAGGGCTTCGGGAGGCCGTCGTCGTGAACCCAAACGGCGTCCAAATACCAGATCATTGCCGCCCAGAAAATGCACGAAAAGATCTGAACGCTTAGGACTTCGGCTAAACTGAGTTCAATGAATGGTTTCTTTGCGAAGAGCTCTTTGAGACCAACGGTGACGCCATACCACTCCCAGCGGCTCAACAAAGACATAGACCACGTGATGGCAAACGACGGGTACATCGTTAAGAGAATTCGCAGACCGTTATAGTCGTACTCATGAGTTGTCATTATCGGGTGATATTTGACAACACCGATGCCATACACCAGTATATACGCGATGACCATCACTATCACCGCCAGCACTGAGTTGTTGAAGACTGTGGTGAATGCCATGCAGTAGAGTATGGTTTGGATGCAAAAGATCCAAAAGATTAGGAAAAATAAGACCACATTTTGTCGCTTAAGTATCGGCGCTCCCGATCCGTAACCAATTGTCGTCGTGCCGTAACACCAGAGGAATGAGAATAACACCGCGTGGACTGACATCACCAGCAGATAATTGATGAAATGTGACGCCCAGAAGACCCAATCACTCATTCCCATCATTTTCATCAATTCCTTCACTTTATTGGCCTTTTCTGTCATCACTCGGCGAACGATCAGCGGATACAACACGATATAACCCAAGACAATGGCCACCGAAATGATATCACCTCTGGATATGCGTTGAGCCGTACGGCCTCTCGGGTACGGCGCGTATGACTTTCTTGCCTGGATTTCGATCAGATTCTTCGGCAATGGAAACAATTTGAGATCCAACGACTGGATCTTTAGCGCACTCACGTTATTATCTTTGGCCGCTTTGGTCAAAAACGCCTGGTTTATGAGTGCAATAATGTCCGCCAAATTACTCCTCACATAATAGAACAGATTACCGCCGGCCCCAAAGCCACCCGACCAGTCGTCCCTCTCATTGGTGAAGGAGGCGATGGACTCACGAATTTTGGCGATCACCGTATACTTGAGATGCGACCAAACCGTGCCGTACGTGTCCTCGAATATGAGGCCCACTTTCGTGTCGGACGAGTGGACCATTTTTGGCCCTCCCGACTTTTTTTCGACACGACTGACCACTTCGCGCACTTCTTCGCCACTAGTCATCGCCGTTAGGTTCCAACGGGTGATCGAAACCAATGTCTCCATCAGATCCCTGGTGTAGACGTTGTCCGGCGTGTAGAAGACCTCTTTATGGACCGGCGCTTGGGTTACGTCAATCGTGAGTCCACTGACCGCGACGTAGGGCTCGACTTTTTTGTTGGGATCGATGTAGAGGTCCTCATATTTGGTGTCTCTTAGCAAATAGGCGAACACCAGCGCCAACACTACCGCCGGGAACAGCTCGAAGACAGTGGCGATCGGATTGCGCGACCGTATTATCCAATCCTTCTTCTGGAGAGCAATGAATTGTCTCCAAAACGCCATAATTTAGGCCACAATTACAGCCAAACTATAGGATTAAACGTTTGATTAGTTTAGACATTCGGTGGTTGAATATGAAGAGTAAATGTTTTGATAAGTGGACACAAAATATAATGCAATGTAAAACTGAACTGAAGTTTACATATGAATAAAAAACTGATAAAGAATATAACGTTCAAAACAAATTGTAATTTAAATTTACACTGTTTTAAGCGATCGTGTGATTCATCTCGAGCTTAATAATTGCCAATTAATTCACCACCAAATCTATAATTGGGTTTACGCTAATCATTGCTACATTTATAGTCATGGTTAATTAATTAATATGTATTAAGTTAATTTAAATATACCAACAATTTATCACTTGATAAATCCATCCGGTGATCTTTGGCCGCTTCTTCAGAATTTTATAATATTTAGCATTTTATTTAACTTTTATGTTTGCCTTTTAATCCGTTATACTTCTTAGCGGTTGTTGTGGTATTCAGTAGTGCTTTTCCGATAGTAATCTTAATCTATGAAAATGTGAGTTAAATATGCATTTATTTTATTGATGTCTCGTTTGATTACACGATAAGAATTGAATATTTTTCTAACAAAAAAAAAATGTTTCAATCATTTCTACTTAATTGTGAAAAATGTGTTTTTTTAATCAAAAATCTATTGAAAACATTACCAAAGATATCATTCCAGGGGTTTATTTGACATAAATAATTCGATAATTGTTTAATAATTTATTTATTTAATATTTTTAGTTAATATAAACTTCACATTTCAATGGATAATAAAAATATGAGACCAAAAATGGGGTAAATTTATAACAAAATGAAATAATTAATAAATTGTGAGATAAATAAAAGTACTGTTAAAATGAAGTACAATTTGTTTATCACTTTTGTTTAGCGAAAGAGAGGAATATCTGCTCCAAAGTGGTGTCGCTTAGGTTATAGTCTTCGAGATCGAGCTCTTGTTGTGCGCTTTGCATCACTTTAAACATCGCCGACCATTGGGTTGAGGTGTCGGTGATGTGGTAGTGGACGAGACACTCGTGTCGGTCGCGCACTTCAGCCGATGGGAAGTGTTGTTTCACGTATTGGTCCACACGGTTCGGGTATGACTGGTCTTTGGTCACTAAATCGATCTTCATTTTGATGATGAGAGTGAATCCCTGTCCAAACTTGGACTTCAGCTGTTGTGTAGAACCCAAGCATTTGAACGATCCGTTAACCATAATGGCTATGCGAGCGCACAGGGCTTCCGACTCCTCCATCGAATGACTGGTCAGTATTATCGACGAGTTCTGGCGATTCTTCAACACATCGAGTGTCTGCCATATCTTGCGTCGGGCGACCGGATCCACGCCAGCCGTCGGTTCGTCCAGAAACACGAGCGCCGGTCGACCGATGATCGCCAAACCCAGCGATAGTTTACGTTTATTACCTCCGCTGAAGTTCTTTGTCGTGTGTTTGCAGTGAATCTGGAGATCAATGGCGTGTATGACTGCTGTGACCGCGGCGTCCGTGTGTTCGGCGGGTATTCCTCGCAATCGAGCGAATAAGTAGAGCATCTCTTCGCCGGTCAGTCGATCCAGAAGTGCGTCAAACTGTGGACAATAGCCGATACGGCGACCGAAAGTCTTCAGCTGTTGAACCAAATCGACAGAATCGATGTAAGCGTTGCCGTCGTTGGGGAACAGCTCTCCGGTGAGCATTGAAAACGTTGTGGTCTTTCCGGCGCCGTTCACTCCCAACAGACCGAAGCACTCGTTTTTATGGACACCGAATGTCAAGTGATTTACAGCTTGAAAGTTGCCAAAACTCTTACACAGATTCACCACAACAATGCCCTCCTCTGCCTTCAGCTCCGGGCTCTTTATGAGCTGATCCACGCGCTGTCGTTCGGCCAACACATCCGCGTCTTGACTACCATTGGACATGAGATGGAGATTTGGTGAGTAATCTTTTCGGCGAATAATTAGACAAAGATTTTCTGAAATAATTAAGTCATAAAATAAGTAATTTGTCAAAAGTGGTATCAAATCAAAAGCCAAACCTTCGATAATCAATAACACGATTATGAATAACAGCGCCGATAATATCAGACCGATTAGCTCCCGGCCAATGCCCGTCGGATGCAAAACCAATGGATTCAAGTGTTTACACGATGTCTTGTTGTTGTACAGCTGGGCGTCCGGTAAATTTGGTGGCCACTCATCGGGCCATTCGGTGGGAAATGTGTTTGGGGTCAAAATGCTGCCGTACAACTCCTTAATCACATCCATTAATTTGGTGCATAACTTTTTGTTCTCGTTAATCATATAGATCTTTGTGAAGCCATAATTTATCGAGAATATAGGTATCAATCGGAACGCATATATGATCCACAAGAGACCGTCCTCTGGTGTGACGCCCGGTTCGAAGGTTAACTTCAAGTAAAGGCCCGAATAAATGGTATTTACAATGAAACCAAACAACAGATAAAACACAAGTAATAGTGAGAAACTGATTGGCGATGAGTTGAACCAAAAGGAGAGACAATAGGCTATAGATATCGACGACAAACCAAATGCTAGCAACAGTAGGAAGAAAGCGGTGCCCGACTGCCAGCCCTTGAAGACCACTTGGTTTACGTCAAAAATATAGACTACAAGTGATAATAAGGTGATCGCTAACAAGTGATTCAATATATCAAACAAGTAGTTTGACAGCCAATACACGGCCGAAGACAAACCAGTCATCAGTTGCAGGGCTTTGGACTTCGAGACCCTCTCAATGATGGGGTATATGAGGTAAGAGGCGGCCAAAAATGGTAACGTAATCGGCATTAAGAGTACGCACGAGACGACGGCGGCCATCATACTGGTCATCAAAGCTTCTTGATACTCTATGTCTTTACCGGTGCCGGCGAAGACCCTATCTTTAAGCGGTTCTATAATTGTGGTGATTGTGAAGTCCTTAAGTTTGAGCACCAATTGGCGGACGAGTGACTCATACATCAAGTTAATGGACAGCGGGAGTGAATGAGTGGACTCGTAGTTAAACCATATCTGGGGGCTAAGCGTACCGGACGTGTTGCTGACGGCACCGCCCAACACATACTTCAACACGTATTGCTCAAAGTCGCGACTCTTTTCCAGCAGCCAATCCATTGGATCAGTTGTTTTGATCAATAGGTTTTCGGTCACGCCGTGTCTCTCAGCGTTCGGTATGTAATGATTGGCGCCAAAGTCGTGAGTCGTTGGGTCCAAGTCGTGGTAGAATCCAATCGTACGGCCGTATAGTTCCTGGAGATCGAGTGTAATTGACTTCGGCTTCTCAGTGGCAACAGATTTGACACTATTGTCGGCTAGAAAGACGATTATGAAGAGTACGGCTGGAATCACAATCTGGAACAACAACATCGCCCAATGTCTGCGACTGTAATGGAATCGCTTCACCAGAAGACCCAATACTGACATTTGGATCAGTTTAAAGCCGTCTTCATTCTTGTACTCATTCGCTATCTTCTCCTGCGAAGCCATCTTTCTGTTGTCCACCTCTTCATAGGAACCGACTTTGAGGAACACGTCTTCCATTGTGGTCACAGTTATGCCAAATGAGTTGAATCCGAGCTCTTCTTTACGACTCTCGAGTTCGTCGAATAATTTCGAAAATATATTTTTGTCGGTCTGTTTCGAGTGATCGTCGGATTCGAGTGAATAAATCACTTCAGTATTGATCTCACTTTGAAGACGACTGTCCGGCAAATACTTCTTGAGAGTCGTGTCAACCGATTGCTTGTTATAATTGTCTGTCTTTGCGATTCTGAGGTGATATCCGGCGCCGAATCGCTTCTTCAGAAACATCGGAGAACCGCAACACTTGAGCACTCCTTCAGACATAATCGCTATTCTGTCGCCCAATACCTGAGTGGACACAAAGTTAGAGTATGACTGCTGTGACCGCGGCGTCCGTGTGTTCGGCGGGTATTCCTCGCAATCGAGCGAATAAGTAGAGCATCTCTTCGCCGGTCAGTCGATCCAGAAGTGCGTCAAACTGTGGACAATAGCCGATACGACGACCGAAAGGCTTCGGCTGTTTAACCAAATCTACGGAATCGATGTAAGCGTTGCCGTCGTTGGGGAACAGCTCTCCGGTGAGCATTGAAAACGTTGTGGTCTTTCCGGCGCCGTTCACTCCCAACAGACCGAAGCACTCGTTCTTATGGACGCCGAATGAACGGAATCGATGTAAGCGTTGCCGTCGTTGGGGAACAGCTCTCCGGTGAGCATTGAAAACGTTGTGGTCTTTCCGGCGCCGTTCACTCCCAACAGACCGAAGCACTCGTTCTTATGGACGCCGAATGTCAGGTGATCTACAGCGTGAAAGTTGCCGAAACTCTTACACAGATTCACCACAACAATGCCCTCCTGTGCCCTCAGCCCAGGGCTCTTCATGAGCTGATCCACGCGCTGTCGTTCGGCCAACACATCCGCGTCTTGACTACAGCGTGAAAGTTGCCGAAACTCTTACACAGATTCACCACAACAATGCCCTCCTGTGCCCTCAGCCCAGGGCTCTTCATGAGCTGATCCACGCGCTGTCGTTCGGCCAACACATCCGCGTCTTGGCTACCATTGGCCACGAGATGGAGATTCGGGAAGTAATTCTTTCGGCGAAAAATTAGAAAAAGATTTTCTGAAATAAAAAAGCCATAAAATAAGTCAATAATGCATTTGTATTGTCAAAAGTGGTCATCAAATCAAAAGCCAAACCTTCGATAATCAATAACACGATTATGAATAACAGCGCCGATAATATCAGACCGATTAACTCGCGGCCAATACCCGCCGGATTCAAAGTCCACGGATTCAAGTGTTTACACGCTGTCATATTGCTATACCCCGCGGGTTTCGGTAAATATGGCGGCCACGGGTCGGGCCATTCGGTGGGAAAGTTTGGGGGCAAAGAGTTGCCGTACGACGCTTTAATGGCATCCAATACTTTGGCGCACAACTGTTTGCTCACATTAATTATATATATCTTTGTGAAGCCATAGTTTATTGAAAATATGGGTATCAATCGGAACGCGTGTATAATCCATAATAAACCCTCCTCTGGTGTTTCATTATGTTTTAAGTATGAGTTCATGTTATAGCCCGAGTAAATGGCATTTACAATGAAACCAAACAACAGATTAAACACCAGTAATAATGAAAAACCGATAGGCGATGAGTTGAACCAAAAGGAGAGACAATAGGCTATGGATATCGACGACAAACCAAATGCCAGTAACAATAGGAAGAAAGCGGTGCCCGACTGCCAGCCCTTGAAGAACGCTTCGTTTACGTCAAACATATAGATTACAAGTGATAATAGTGTGATCGCCTTGTTCACCAAGTTATATAGTTTGTTCATCAAACTGTCGGTTATGTGCCGGCTTCTGTCTGGTCAGTAGTCAACGTCCCGAAACCTGAAGCTCCGGGAGAGTTACTACCCCATATACTACATTCTCCCGGTCAAAAATGGTAACATAATCGGCATTAAGAGTACGCACGAAACGCCGGCGTTCATCATTCTGATGGACAAAGAATTGTAATATTCTTCAGACGTACCGCTGCCGGCGACCAGCCTTTTGACGCCAAGATTCTAACACCATTAGCACTTCAAGAATTCAAACTTGTGGTTAACCGCTTGCTCACTGAGTATGTAGTTCAAATGTCTATTGCCCTCACTTACTCACCTGAGCATCAATTTGGTATAGACGGGGTTGAGAGTACCGGACGTGTTGCTGACGGCGCCGCCCAACACATACTTCATCACGTATTGCTCAAAGTAGCGACTTTTTTCCAGCAGCCAATCACTTGGATAAGTTGTGTTGAGTAATAGGTTTGCGGTCACGCCGTGTCTCTCGGCGTTCGGTATGTAGTGATTGGCGCCGAAGTCGTGAGTCGTTGGGTCCAAGTCGTGGTAGAATCCAATCGTACGGCCGTATAGTTCCTGGAGATCGAGTGTTATTGACTTAGATTTCTGAGTGGTCGCAGATCTGACGCTATTGTCGGCCAGAATAACAAGTATGAAGAGTACGGCCGGAATGACGATCTGGAACAACAACATCGCCCAATGTCTGCGACTGTAATGGAAACGCTTCACCAGAAGACCCAATACTGACATTTGGATCAGTTTAAAGCCGTCCTCATTCTTGTACTGCTTCTCTGTCTTCTCCTGCGAAGCCATCTTTCCGTTGTCCACCTCTTCATGAGAACCGACTTTGAGAAACACGTCTTCCATTGTGGTCACAGTTATGCCAAATGAGTTGAATCCGAGCTCTTGTTTACGGCTCTCGAGTTCGTCAAAGAGTTTCGGGAATATATTTTTGTCCGTCTCTTTCGAGTTGTCGTCGGATTCGAGTGAATAAATCACTTCAGTATTGATTTCACTTTGAAGACGACTGTCCGGCAAATACTTCTGGGGAGTCGTGTCAACCAATTGTTTGCTATAATTGTCTGTCTTTGCGATTCTGAGGTGATATCCGGCGCCGAATCGCTTCTTCAGAAATATCGGAGAACCGCAACACTTGAGCACTCCTTCAGACATAATCGCTATTCTGTCGCCCAATACCTGAGTGGACACAAAGTTAGAGTTGAGATAATAGACTATTAGTGGCAAACAATGTAGTAATGATCTCACGTCCGCCTCTTCCATGTAATGAGTGGTCAGAAGTATAGTCTTCTCTCTGCGGACGTGTTGTAAGACATCCCAAATGGCTCGACGGGCCTCAGGATCCATACCAGAGGTCGGCTCATCCAGTATCAGGACTTCTGTGGTGCCGATGATAGCGATTCCTAGACTTAGCTTCCGTTTCATACCTCCGGAGAGGAGTGAACTCTTCCAATGCCTTTTGTC